AAGTCTTTTAGAGGCACATTAAATCCCTCAGAAATCCCCCATGAAGCCGAGTAGGTTTCCCAACCTTTCTTACAAATGCAAGTTAACACAGAGAAAGGAAAATCGATGTCAAGTGACATTAACACAGAAGGTTCCTGGGAACACAATCTAGTCCGTCCTATTACACAGAAACATAGAAACCAGAAGCAGGAGTAGGCCATTCAGCCCTACAAGCTTGCTCCACAATTGAACATGATCTTGGCTGATCATCCAACTCAGTACTCTGTTCCTGCTTTCACCCCAAATCCTTTGATTCCATTAGTCCTAAGAACTATATCCAGCTCCTTCTCGAAAACATCTGATGTTCTGGCCTCTACCACTTTCTGTAACAGAGAATTCCTCAGGCACACCATGATCTGAGTGAACAAATTTCCCTTCATCTCAGTTCAAAATGGCCTAGCCATCTCTATAGATTGAGCCTTCTAGTTCTGGACTCTCTCGTCATCGGGAACATCCTACCTTCATTTACCCTGTCTAGTCCTGTTAATCTTGTCCATTCTCCTACTCTATACCCACAACTTTGAAATTTCATTTCTGTCAAGTGCATCTCAACCTCCTTGTGAGATCTTTCCTCATTTTTGCTTCTACCTTCCACACAGGCAGCAAATTCCAATTATTCCCTCATGCTGCGTAAAACATTCTGCCTCACACCACCATATCTTTCCCATAACCTTAAAACTGTATCTCTTAATCCTGCCACCATGAGCTAATGGGATTAGCGTTTGAACATCAATGCTATTTTGCTACACCATCTCCATACACTTCATTGTCATTAACTTTCCAAAGCCTATCACTTTCTGCCTTGAATCTGCTCAATGACTGAGCTTCCACAACCCCTCTAAGATACAGAATTCCAAAGATTCACATCCTCTGAATGAAGAAATCCCTTCTCATCTCTGTTCTAAATGACCGACCCTTCATCTTAAAATTAAGGGACCTGGTTTTAGACTCACCAGCCTGGGGAATCATCTACATCCACCCTGTCATGCCTTATAAGGACTTTTTTTCTAAGTTTCAATAAGGTCATCCCTAATTTTTCAAGACTTTCTCTCTAGCTTCTTCCTTCAACATACTGGGATAAAGTTCATCTGGTCAAAGAGATTTATCAACCATCAATCTTCCTAACTTTTCAAGTACTACCTTTTTACGAATACTAATTTCTTTTAGCTTCTCAATATCACAAGTTCCTGGGCTGCCTGTTTAACTGCTCCGCCTTTTCCTCGCTCTTCATTATAACTTTTCCTGCCCTCATCAGCAATGGACTCACATTTGCCCTTACTAATCTCTTCCTTTTCTTTTCACATATGTGAAGAGGCCGTTATAATCCATCGTCATGCTCCTCAACAGTTTGCATTCATATTCTATGGTCCCTTTCTTAATCAGTTTCTTAGTCCTCTTTTGCCGAGTTCTAAATTGGAATCCAATCCTCAGCCTTACTGTATTTTTCTGACATCCTAATAAACCATTACCTTCGATCTAATGTTATCTTTCACTGCTTCCATTGCCCTTTGGGTGTTAATGCCTTAGAAGAATATATAAAATTGTCGTAAACCAAAGCATTTATTTAAGTACTACCCATTGTCTGTCTACCATCAAATCTTTTGGTGTATTTTCTTTTCAATTCACCATGGCCAACTTGCATCTCACACCTTTGTAATTTCCATTCTTCAGATTTAAGACCATACTTTCAATATGACTGATGCCACATTCAAACGTTATGTGAAATTTTATGATACTATGATCACTGTTTCCTAAAGGCTCCTTCACAACAAAGTTATTAATTCATAGAATCATAGAACCTCTACAGTGTGGAAGCAGGCCACTCAGCCATTCAAGTCCATGCTGCCCCTCTGAAGAGCATCCCACCCAGAACCCCCACCCTACCCTATCACTGTAACACTACTTTTCCTATGGCTAATTCACCTAACATGCACATCCCTGGTCAATACGTACAAGGTAGCATCACCAATCCACCTAACCTGCACATCTTCGGACTGTGGGACATGGGGAGCCTGTGAAAATTTGACACAGACTGTCGCCCAAGACTGGAACCAAATCCTGGCTCCTGGCACTGTGATGCAGCGGTGCTAATCACTGAGCCACGGTGCTGCCTTAATCCTTACATATTATGCATCACTGAATCCAAAACAGAATTATTCTTGGCTGTCTCGTCACCTGTTCCAGAACACATTTTGTATACAATCCAGAAATTCATTCACCATAGCATTAGTCCCGATTTGGAGAACCCAATCTCCGGATAAATGGAAGTCACCCGTTATTACTATATTAGCTACATTACATGCATCTCAAATTTCCTGATTTATACCATGCCCAACATTAATGCTACAGTTTGATGTTCTATAAATAACTCCCAACAATGTTTCTACCGCCTTATCTTAGCTTAAACTAAATTGATTCATCATTTTGATCCTTCAATCCAAGTCTCTTAGTACTGTACTGATGCTATCCCTTACTAGTAGAGCTACTCCACCTCATTTACCTTTTGGCCTTTACGTCCTAACTGGTGAATGTCCTTATTCAGTTCACAATTTTGGTCATCCTGTAGCCACGTTGTTAGAATGGCAATTAAATCATACTTATTTACCTCAATTTGTTCATTCAAATCATCAACATTTTTGACAGTGTTGCAAGCATTCAAATAGAGTGACTTTAATTATGCTTTTTCTACATTATTCCCTATGCTGATCCTTTTGGCGATTCATTTGCCTTCTAATTTTGCTTTCTACTTTTCTGCTTCATTGTAACAGTTCTACTTCTCTCTAATCTGAGCTTGCCTCAGGTTCCCATCCCCCTGCCAATCCAAGCTTCAACTTTCCCGCAACAGCACTAGTAAATTTCCCAGTAAAGTCATTAGTTTTGGCTCTCTAATCCATCCTGCACAGGTGCCACCTGCCTCAAGCATGGTGTCAATGCTTCAGAAATCTGCTTGCATGTCATAATTGTGTACTTTAATTTTCATTGCCAAATGTTCTACATCAGCAGAACAAGCAAGAGCAAATCCAGACAAGGGCAGCTAAACTTGGTTGGACAATATTGGAGTCACGCTGCTGAAAAATTATATAGTTGATTATAACAAAAATTACAGAGTTCAAAAAAGGGATACTTGTCAAAAAGTCCACAAACTCTGGATATTTGTTGTTAGAGGATGAATGAACTCGGGGCAAATTTAAGAAGGTGTTGGGTGATGGAGAAAAAGATTAACACGTTCACTCTGGCATCATGAGAGTTTATAGTAAATGACGGTGAGACGAGATGATATTTTCAAAGACTCAAGCAGGTCTGTCAGTGGATCACTAAGCCAGTTCCACGTTAATGTGCAAGCGTTTTCCCAGTGAAATGAGGGAGCAGAGATAGAGGCTATGATAGGGAACATCAGGATAGAAGATAATAAAGGAAACAAGGTCATCAAAGTTGAGGTTAAATAAATCAACAGCTGCGGAAGGATCATGATAATTTAAGTACCAAAGGCTATGCAATTGTGAGTTGCAAGGTCTAACTAATAAAGCCATTAAAGCAAGTGGATACCTGACTACACCTGTCACATATGCCAAGATGTCAACCATACCTACAGGTCTTGGGAAATGTACGTGGCAATGACAATATGACAAAGACACTGTATCCTTAGAGAGGTCACATACAAAAGATCTATACTGTCTTTTACAAAGACTGCACAGGGGACATTCAGTGATACTGAGGAATTCATAGGACTTGAATGTAACTGGCTGGGCCAGTATTTATTGTATATCCCTAACTGCCGTTGAAAAGGTAGTGGTGATTTGCTTTCTTAAAAAAACTGCAGTCTATTTGTCCACAACGTCATTAGAGAAGGAGTTCTAAGATTTCGACCCAGCGACTCTGAAGGAACAGGGATATATTTCCAAGTCAGGTTGATGAGTGGCTTGGACACTAAGTTACAGAGGGTGGTGTTCCCATGTATCTGCTACCCTTGTCCATCTAGATGGAAGTGGCCATGGGTTTGTAAGGTGCTGTCTAAGGAGCTCTGGCTCCCCTGGGATCAATGTGGAACTAGACTTTGGTGTACAGGGCACAATTTCAAAGCTTGTCAAGGTCAAAAACTTGGAAACTTTGGAAGAAGATTGCAGAGAACTTCAAAAAGAACATAGACACATTGGTGCAATATATTGGTACAATAGTAAAATCCAGTTACAAAGATACAAAAGAAATTTGTGAGAAAGTGTAAAAAAGATTCACAAGTATTCTCCCTGAGGATCCTTATTACACAAATAAAGTGGAGAAGATGGGACTGTTTTTCTTGGAAAAAAGATTGGAGGAGATTTGGTCGAAATGTTCAAAATCATGAAAAGTCTGAACAGAGGGGATAAGTAAGAAGTGTTTCTATTGGTGGATGGATTAACAACAAGAGGACACAGGTTAAAGAAACTGGCTACACAATGAGAAACACTTTTTCGAAGCGAGTGCTTAGGATTGGGATGCACTGACTGAGAATGATGTAGAATCAGGTTCAATCCAGGCAAGGAATTGGCTTTTCTGAGTTACCAGATCGATGGTGTGACGTGGTCGACCCCTCATTCACTTACTCAAGGAATCTCAATGTTTACCTATCAGTTTTTGCTCCCCTCACCCTCCACCATTCTACAAATTAGCGAAAGTAGCTAATAGGTTGAGATTCCTTACAATTCTTTTGAAAAATATTCATAATTTTTACCTATTTCACAGTCCCTATTAATTGTCCATTTCCCTTTATGTGCTAAATGCTCAGTGGAAACACTGAAATCTGAACATGAACAAAATGGTTTACCACCGAACATTAGGTGCAAAGTGTAAGTTTAAAACCGGATGAACCCTAGCAAAACTTTGGGCTGTCTGTTATAATTGATATTTTGTTTTATCTTAACTCAGCTCTAGTAGTCTAATCTAATATCAATCTCCTATTGTCATTCATGAACTACAATACTTACGTCAACAATGATTCGTACAACTTCTTTCCAAACTTCTCCTTCACTGCATTTGCTGTATCCCTGAGGGCAAAGAAAAAGCAAGACAAAATTCTCATTCAAAAGCACCCAAAGACTTTCAAGCAGCATATAATTTGCACAATGTACTACATATAGAATCTATATTAAGAAATATAGAATGCCCACAGCACAGTGTGGGCATATGAATGCACACAGGATAATGTAAAGCATATAGAGGCTTCTCCAATAATATAGACTCATAGCACTTGCAGTACAGAAGGAGGCCATTTGACTCACCATGTCAAAAGAGCTACCTAGCTAGTCCTATTCTCCAGCTCCATCTCCATAGCGCTCTAAACTTATCACTTTCAAATATACATCCAGCTCTCTTCTGAAACCTGTATGGAAATTGCCTCTACCACTCTCTAAGGCAAAAGGTTATCTTTACAGAATAGTACTATTCAACTTATCCTGATCACCCTAAAGCACCCTTGCATCCCCCTCACAATTTACAATCCCACCTGTTTTGTGTCATCAGTAAACTTGGAAATATGGCATTTGATTTCCTCAAGCAAGTCATTACTACGTATTGTGAATAGCTGGGGCCAAATCCTTGCTGTACACCACTCACCATCATCTACCATTAGAAAAAGATCCATTTATTCCCAATCTCTGTTTCCGGTCTATCAACCAATTCTCAGTCCATGCTGGAATTAACCCCCCAATTCCATATGCTTTAATTTTGACCACTAGCCTCTTATATGGAATCTTATCAGAAATCTTTTTTGAAATCTAAATACACCACATCCATTGGTTTTCCCTTATCTGCTTTACTAGCTACATTCTCAAAACTCCAGCAGTTAAGCATAACTTCTGTTTCATAAATGCTTGTCGAGTTTTTAATCCAGTTATCATGTCTTTGATCATAGGCTCTAGCAGTCACCCCACTACAGATGTTAGTCAAACTGGTCTGTAAAAATCCATGTTTTCTCTCCCTCCTTTCTTAAATAGTGGGGTTATATTTGCCACCATCCCCCCCCCAAACTATAGGGATTTCTCCAAAGTCTACAAAATTTTAGAAATGACCACTGATGCATCCAATATTTCCAGGGCCACTTCCTTTAGTGGATTCTCAGGCCTTGAGAATTTGTCAGCCTTTAACCCCATTAATTTCTCATACACAATTTTTTAAAAATAATACTGATTTTCTTCAGATCCTCCCTCTCACCAGACATTTAGTTCCTTAAGATTTCTGGGAAATTCTGTGAAGCCAGGAGCTAAGCTCATGTTCAGCCATGGGTTCGGGGAGCTAATAACATAGTTGCTGGCAGGCAGCAAGACTTTGTTATAAACAACAGAGTAATCAGCTCCTTGCTGCCAGTGACTCTCCATTTGTGCACACTCCAGCTCGTGTGTAGTAACCTTCTCCACTAGTTGAGCAAAGAGTTATGTAAACAGTACTTACAAACAGTATCATTAACTGGTTCTAAAAACATGCAATAAACCTTACCACAATCCTTGATTTGCAAAAGTGTTTTTTCTCATTTCAGTCCACAATCAAAATTATAGCAAAATAATTACAATGATAACTTCAATTTTGTAAAACTCACATTGGATGTAATTTGTGACACAGGCATGAGTTTTTCTGGAATGATAGAAGCAGAAACTTAATTGAAAAGACTCCGAATTTCAGGAAAAAATGGGAATAGATGTGGTAATTACTAATTAATAAAGGACAGGGTAAAAGGTTGGTATTTTAAGGAGACAGGTGATCATGGCAGATTTAAAATGAGAAAGGGAGCCCCAGAGTGCGAGCAAACTTCACCTAGCTGCAAATATCAACCTTTAAGTTATATCAACACTTCACTTAAATCCTTACCATCGAAGCTACTCACCATAGCTGTTTACGAACTGCCTGCCCTTTCAATGTCTCCACATTGAAGTTGTTGGTTTGTGCAGGCATAATAAAGAATGCAACCACCGTCACACGACTTTGATGAGCCTGCGACAATAGATATTTTTAAAATGAGTCATTCACATAAAACCAAGGAGAAACAAACTTTTCATTGCTTGCAATTTAGACAAACTTTGTAAACATTTCAGCATTCTCACACATTTACTAGGATACTAACTGTAACAGCATAAAATGTACTTAGGGGCATGATCTGCCAAGATTTATTATCTGAGCTCACCATTTACAGCAACAAACCCCACCCCACCCACTGAGAAGTGTGAACAGAAACCACAATTTCTCTGCAGACAGATATATTTTAATTCACTTTATTTTTTATTTGCTCATGGGATGTAAGTGTCAACAGTAGGACCAAAATTTGGTGCTTATCCCTAAATGCCCTGAAACAGGTGGTGATGAAGTGCCATCTTTAGGTGCTACAGGCCACATTCTAGGTACACCCGAAGCACTGTCAGGGATGGAGTTCCAGGATTTTGTCCCAGGGACACTGAAGAAACAGCCAATATACTTCCAAGTCAGGATGGCAAATGGCTTGGAAAGGATTGTGTTCCCATGCTTCTGCTGCCCTGGACATTCCAGTTGTTACGAACCATGAAAAGAGTTCATATTACTGAAAAGGAGGTGCCGGAGGTCTAAAAACACATAAAGGTAGATAAAATCCCTGGGACCTGATCAGGTGTGATTTTCCCAGAACTTTGTGGGAAGCTAGGAAAGTGATTGCCGGGACTCTTCTTGAGATATTTGTATTATTGATAGCCATGGGTGAGATGCCAGAAGACTGGCGGTTAGTTAATGTGTGCCATTATTTAAGAAAGATGGTAAAGAACTATAGACCAGATGAGCCTGACATCAGTGGTGGGTAAGTTTTTGGAGAAAATTCTGAGGGACAGGATTTACATGTATTTGGAAAATCGTGAGGGATAGTCAACATGGCTTTGTGCAGAGAAAATCATGTCTCACTAACTTGATTGAGTTTTCTTAGAAGAGGTGACAAAGAAGATTGATGAAGGCAGAGCAGTAGACATTTTCTATATGAGCTTCAACAATGTGTTTGACAATGTTCTGCATGGTAGACAAGGTTCTGCATGGTAGACAAGGTTCTGCATGGTAGACAAGGTT